CCAGGGTGCACCACGTGGAGGTAAGTCTATCGCACACCCCCAATCTCAAACTATAATGCAAGTGATTAGATAGGAAATTTCTAATGTTCGTAATGTCAGGGTGAAATGGAGATATTTCACAAAATCTGGTTTGATTCCTCGTACCTTCGAGAGTCAAGTATAAAAACTTCCAGTTACGGATAAGTTTGTAATAGTTGTTTAAGGTTTTACTTCCTATCTAATAAACTTATTTGATTTGTTCCGGCATCAACTTTGCTCATATCAAAGCTAGGGCAGTTATATTAAAAAGAGGAGAATTTAAAATTTTTAAGGACTTCGAAGTGACTTAATATTCAATGCAGTCAGCTGGTAATTTTTCTATGATTTAAATCACTTTGACATCAATTTTAGGACGTGAATAACCTCAAACTCTCCTTACACGCCTTCCAAGTCAGTGAAAGCGAAATGCGTATCCAGTAATTAGGACGACTAACCACCCCTGTAGCCCACTAATAATGAGATCACGACGTAATCATTGCGGGTATTGGCATGCTCAACAGCTCGTTAGTCTCCCACCCATTTCAAACTCCCAAACCATCCGGACCCTCACATGCTTCCCCAACTCGACCATTAGTCAGTCCCTAGGGTCCCGAAAAATTTCTTCAACTTCCATCTTACCTACCTGAGTTGACAGCCATCCCTCTTTATGACCTTTCATTAAACCCGGTCTTTTAAGCTGCCTTAGTTCGATGCCGTGATAGTAATGCCAACCTGTTGCACTCTCAATAGTAGAACCCTTCTATTTAATGAAACTTATTGCAAAGTAGAACTTTTGTTGTCATTACAAATTTCGGAAACATAGACAGCTGCTTCCCGACACATCCGTCCAAACGAGAAAAACATTTCTCAACATTATTCGAACAATTATGCTATTAGGTGCATGTATAACAAAACCGACAAGCAATGGCAAATCTTGAATTCGTCTTAGTAAATCCAAGTAATCGAGCTTTCATTCAGTCATTAGAACCACTTGCGACACCCAGGCATCAGACAACCAGCTACATGACCCGGCGTAATGAGCATGATTGAATTCCCTCAATGGCAAAGCGAATCGCATCCTTTATTAAAAATTGTTGTAAATGATACGTTACACAGTGCGATCTAATCGACTTGACCTCTCAATGGACCTCTGGATTCCAATACGAAGGTCTTACCAACATGCCCAAATTTATTGAACATTTCACAAAGAAACTCATCAGCAAAGAACTCATTCAACGAAGTTAGCTATAAAATAAAGGCAAGTCGATGATTAATCAAAAGTATTAACAGCAAAGTGCAGCAAATATAAGTAGGTTGACCAGATGGGATCAAATAATTACACGACAACAGAGGAAGACTCTTGAACGCATTCACAAAGGCAATTTGTACAAAACACAGAAGAGTAATAGGAAGGCATCGCATGAAGGGGAGAGAACTAATTGGAAGACTGAGCCCTAGAACTAGGAGGTGAGAGAAGAGGAAGACACTTTGCCATGCTCCCAAGAGGCATTGGTGGGTCACAAAAATACCGGTCACCTAGGAGACGATACTTGCACATGGTAAGACGGTATCCAACACCAGCCACGCCGCCGGAAAGGGATTCTGAGCCGAGAGAAAGTAGCGCTCCACTGGGAAGACATCCTCCATCACGACAGAATTGCAAAGCTACAGGTTGAGGCGTTCCGGGACCGTTAGTAAGGAAGAATTTTGCCCGAATGTTGCCGGAGACATCGACACCGGGATGTAGATGAGGTTGAGATTCTGGTGTATGAGTAAGTGGAATACTCCAGGAAGCACGTGCCTGTTCACTGTTCCATGTACCCAGTGGTCGACTCTGCATTCGTGTTACGTCGCCATCAACCAACAAATTCACCCGCAAGTCTTGGCAACTGAAATATGAGAAGTAAAGCTCGCTCTGATAGTCTGCAGCTTAATGAACCAGACAAACCGAAATGTTTATATTTATACAGTACGTGAAATTTGGCATAGATGTGCACCTGATGACCACATGGCCATTCAAACTGACGTTCGAGGTTGTTCACAATTTGGCCAAATTGGCCTATCGGTGAACTCTGTGATACGAGCTATCATTATCACTTTAATGGCATTCAACAGTTAGACATACTCAGAGGCATTTTCCCCTACAAATTATCAAATAATGAGGAAGAATTCCACCTTACTGTGTAGGAGGAGATGATTGCGATTGGCCAATCAATTTGATGCAAAAAGAAGTAAGCGTTTATCAGCGACTGTTCATGGCATTTATTGAAGAAATGGTACTTTGCTTTCAGACACTTTGAAATTAGAAAAGGATCATACTTTATCTATGCCAAGTGGGAAAAAATGTCAGTGCCAATTCGTCTCTTTAAGAAATGGTCACTATCATGTCAGTATAAACCCCAGGCCAAAAGGATTGCAGGCAAAAAGAAAGAAAACTCAGTCAGTGTACATCACAAGGCCTGTTATGACCGTGCTCGCTAAAGTATTAAATCCTCGCCCAGGAGGAACACTCATCAAATCTATACATAAATTTCGGATCACATGACCACTCTTAAAAAAGGGCAAGAAATAAGCCCCATCTTAGTAAATCACACATTCGGTGATGACTAGATGCCTAAGAGTGATTTGACGTTGGCATGAAAACATCTACATAATGAAATGCATAGTGTGCATTTTCAAGTCTCAGATATCGGCATCGAGAGAGAATTCAATCACAGAGGAACCTTCAAAATGGCAAAGAAAACTAAAAAATAAAGGTATGCCAAGGTAAGGGTAACAAAGAAGCAAACGGTTTTTAAGTTGGACAAAGAAAATCTGTAACCTTTGTATAAATATTTAAAACACAATACAACACTCTTAACACGCCTGTTCTAAAAGAGTATGGACCACTGGATATAATCTCAATTAAATTTAGGTGAGGGAATTCCCAGGACCTTTTGAAAATCAAACACAACTTGAAAATACCCGTCTACTTATCCTCCCACACTATGCAGTATTTTTCACGGAAGAAAAATGCGTCCATCATCCCTATCAAGGTGAGAGTACCGATCTCTTCTGACATCCTGACTCTCATTTGGAAGTAAGCCTGTTATCAGTTTGAGGGTGCTTTGATCTCCGATATTAACAACAAGAAGACAACTTCTATTACCATATAACGCAGTTGCTTGATTTATAAAATAACTTGGAATAACTGCATTCTACCTCCACCCCCCCCCCTCTCTCATCGCAGCCTGGTTCTCAACTGCAATCTAATGGCACGTGGAGGGTGAAATAGACCGAAGAAGTACTACAGTACGAATCGCACTTTACAAAAGCGGACGACCGAGCAGTCGCAGTAGAGAACGATTTCTAGAGTTAGATGTCTGTATATGAGTTGACGATGCATCGGAGGAGGCGAACAATCTGAAAGATTTCAAGTTTGCCTACTGGCATTCTCCCTACACTATCTTTCATCCCCTATCGGACTGTTTTACTGTATCATGTGTTCCGATATTTTCCCCCGATTAAAAAGTTCCAAATATTAACTTGCTCGCCGTGAGTAACAATAAGTAATCGGTTAATACTCAGCAATTACGGTTTGTAGAAATTCAATTATTGTTTGGTCACGAAAGCTCGGATAGTGTGCTCCATAAATTGTGAGAATTTTCACACCGAGCATTAATGCCAAAGGACTTTCTTGGCTCCAGAATGTGGCTTCGGTGGAATACCACACAAGTATGAAGCATAAGGTTAAATTGAACGCAAAAAACTAAACCTTCTTTCGGAAAAAAGGCTAGCAAAGATGTTCGCTGACTAATCCCCCTACAAATGGAAGAGTCTAAGAATACCAAGTTGTTTGTATTAACAGAGAAATAATTGATCATCATAGCCATTAAATAGAGCATGAATTCTTGACTTCTTTCCTTTCTTGTGACCTTGATGAACGCATTTGCTATTCCCCTTATCAGATCACATTATATGATTCAAGCTTACAAATAATAATACAAACAACATAAAAGGAGTGAAGAAGTGAACTCACCTAATTTCCGATGAGCCTGTATCATCGTTACCCAAAGAAGCAGAAGAAGAACAGGAAGCATTCCACTTTGGCCATTGAACGAAATAATCCAGTCGAAAATCAGTACTTTCCTTCTCGCATCGCCAAAACGTGCACATTGTGATGGGGGGTGGAACACCATTGGATTCAATAGTATAGTCCAAGAGAGACAGTCGAGTATACTCCTCATCTGCGGCTTCACTTTGAGTTTCAACGAGGTAGTGATACAGTAAATCTCCCGGAATTGTCACTCGGTATCGGGTCTCCTCACCATCCTCCAATCTAAGAAAATAAGCATCAATTTATGTTAGGTACTTAGTAGAAATCTTGGTCTTCGCTTGGATTTTTACCCATGCCTTCACCTCTATAGTCAAAATTGTACTCTACAATCATGTGGTATTCCTGAAGGACGCGCACGTGTTGTGACTCATATGCCCGCTCTGTCCTAACAGACAGGCGGCGACTGGTAAATGGATGCTTTTCAGACTGACGGTCGACTCGACTCTGCGTCCCTACATTACATTTTCACTCACTTTGCAATGGCTTTGCTCATGTTTCCCTTTCTCTCATTCAATAAGTGCTTCTATTCACCATTCAACTCAAATCCTTTGATTTGAGAAAAGCTAATCTTCCTAGTTATGGCTAAGAAAGTGCTATAGATGGAGTATGGGGTTATCTCGGGGTCTGTTATGATCGAACTTCAACAATTTAATAGGAGGGAGTTGAAAGAAGTAATCCGAAGTTGTAACTGAGGTGTGGTGTAAAGCTTGATGTGCAGGTTTTATGTAACGAATGAAAGTCAATTAGCGGTAAGAACTGAGGGTTGATAACTAAACAAACTGAAGGTGGTTTGCGGAAAACAGGCATAAAACGACAAAAGATCCAAGGTAGTAGTACAATGGTTAAAGGCAGAAAAATTACCTCAGTTACACCAGATTGATAATTCTACAGCAGGGTGTGCCATAGACTTACCTCCACGTTGTGCACCCTGGGCAACGAACACTCATAAGGCAAAAAAGTCTATTATTCGGCAGTTGACTTCTGACTTCAAACTACAATGGCCCCACTGTATGTCATAGTCGACCACTTCTACAGTATTCACCTTACCCTACTCTCTATCATTGTGTCTGTCTCTTACATCTGCAAATCACTCTTCGGTCCACCCACTTGAACTTTGATGTTTCTCCCCTCTGTGAAGTTCGAAGTCAGCTAAGGGCTAATGATAACTATCAAAATGCCTGCCATTCGAAATGAATAAATAATTCTATAGCTGTCCCCTCTTAAATAATAGCACAAACGCACTCCATTTCACCTACATTCCTGCCCAAGTGACTCATAAACTGTCTTTGTATTTCCACTCACACACATACCCCCCCCCCCCCCCCCCCCCAACTCACACGCGCATCTCTCATCTGCCCTTACCCTCTCGAAACATCAAAGTGACATGCGCAACTCCTCATGTTCTAATTATTTGAACCGTTGATCGCTGTTGACTTAGTTCTAGTTCATTATTTTAAATAATTTGATAACCATCCAAATTGGCAACTACATAACTTGATGACCTCGGTTCTTGTGATTCCAAGAGCCAGCAACGCTTGCCTTTGCACCTATCGTGAGGCCTTATAATTTACAGTAGGCACACATTGCCCGAGGGACTCTGGCTAGGTGAGCGGTAATATAGTTGAAGGAGAGAGACCTCCAGGTTTATAAATTGCAATTACAAAGTATTAGAATGAATAGAAACAAGGTGCCGAAAGATATTGACCAATTAACAAACTGTCGGCCAAGAACGTAGATTCTGCATAACAATAAGGGCTGATGAATGAAACATAGTAATAAGCGAGTAGAAAATTGAGAAGGTGTATCTAGAGGTGGCAGCTAAATATCGATAGCATGAAAATGGCCTCACATTCTTACGAGAAAATATGTTCGTATTCCATTCCTACTTCGATATAGTAATCTCTCGAGAGAAATAAACTGGACTTCGCTTTTAGATTTCAAAATGGCGCGTTATAAGGAGAGGTAATATCTGATTCCCAGCTGTGTATAGGAGTTCCAACATTCTAGTTCATTTGCTCTGGCAGACATAATTGAACAAATAAGCAAATTTGTTATATTTTACCCTTTTCTGCTTAAAACCCCCAGAGACAGTTTATGGCAGATAGCAATAGAAGGGAGGATTTTAGCGAATTTCTCTTTAACTCAATTAATCATTGCTTAAACTATAAATGTGAAAGTAATAAAAGTCTTAAAAGCAATAATTAGCGCCGACATGTGTCCTCCACTTCCTCACCTCCTCCAGTTAGGACATTCTCAAAAAAAAATAATAATGAACAGTGCGCTTCAGGCATCCATAGAAGTCATTTTGGTAATAAAACCGAAAGTGCCAAAAGACATGAGTCCAAGTGAAAGCGTAGAACAACTGGAGGAGCAGATTCACTTAGGTCTATCTCTTAGGGGGAACCTTGAAGGATGGCTGTGCAACAAATTCAAGTCCAAAAAGGATGGAAAAATGAAATTGAAGGGGAGCGATCAAATCCCAGAAAGGTCCCACGAAGGATGTGGCTGGACATACTAAGTGGGAGTTACTTGGGTGTAAAGAGAAGAATATTAACCAGAAAAGTTATCAGAGGGGGGGGGGGGCAAGGCACGTACTACACTAACTGGAACAGCGGAATAGGATTAGGGTTTTAACTGCTCCCCTGGTCCTCACCAGTATAAAGCAACAAACTCTAAAGCCTGCCACAGCTGCATATGCAAGCATCACACGACTATTTGCATTTTAACAATGCTATGGCTGGTAGAATTAGTTTCTCACTAGGGAGCTCAATGTTACCACCACCTAGCAGGAGATGAACGTTTGAAAAGGTCTTCCCAATTAGATTCGGAAATAATTTTATTACAGAAAGTTTGCGCATTAGATTGCTCGAACGAAATGACTCAATGCCGTCTTGAAACCAAGTTCAGTTAAAACTGTAAGAAAATCTCAAAACCGACAACTATTCAAGAATCTTCTCGATATAAGAAAAAATAGCCTTAGAGGTACAGTGATTCTGACATTTACGCAACAAAATGCTGTCTGCATTAAAACCAGCCATATCGAAATTTCAATAACAGCCTGCATTTGCATTTAAATCAAATAAAATGCAACTTACTGCACAGAGACACCACTAAACGTAGCCTGAACCTTCCTCATTCTCTGCGCTCGAGAGAAGATAAGCACTAGTGGCTTGAGACTGGCTTTCTGGGTCAGTAGACGCAGGTCCTCTCTAGCTACAGCCAGAGTGACCTGCCCAAATAGTGATTGAGCAGGTCTTTCCGAGTTAGTGAATGACGATCCACCCCCGTTGGGAAATTGGGCTCGCCAAGTCTCTGTCAAAGCGATAGCGATGGGAAGAGGGGGTTGAGGTGGTGGTAAGGCTCTAGGCTCCGTCGAAAAGCGTAGAAGGGTCGGAGGTGGTAATTGGGAAAAATGCGGGGATGTCACTGTTGAAGTATCATCGTCCTCAAGAGCAGCAAGTGGAGCATGACAAACCTGCAAGAAAACACCACCATTTAAATCCATGTAGAGGCCTGTTTCAGTAAATAAGAGATGAAAAAATAGCGATGACATGTGTGCGAAAATGAGGCGAAACGACCAACTTACCGAATAGAGAGAGATCTCATCTGAATCCTGAATTGAAATATAGAACATAAGTATCATATCTCTTAGAATCACAACAGGCAATGGCGCAAATTACAACAGAGGATAATACATCAGCGAGGGAATAAGGTGCGTAACGTTGAACAAAAGCGGACATGAAACCAACGCAAAAGTTATTCCCAATTTGGTTTATAAAACCATGGTTATCCACTATTGGTACAGGCGCCTTATTCTATTCCTGACACGACTTCAAAAGGTGTATAATCAGACACACGCAACTATATTACTCAGACGCCTAGACAAGTGGCAAGTTTACGTAGCTTAATACATGGGCGATAGAACTCACACGATGACATCCTTGAGGCATTTCTCTACACTGCTGGGTCGTCCATATCATAGCCTAAAAGTGTAGTTGTCTTATGCACATTTATCGCATCTGCGAAATCGCTCATAGATCACTCTAGCATTGCCAGCTCTTGAACTAGTTTTCACTTCAGTCACTATGTTTTGTCGAGTAGAACCGTAGAGATAGCAGGACAATGCTAATGGGATAAAGAACAAGATACCTAACATCCTCCTCTTACGCCACTTTAAATGACAAGAAAGATAGAGGTATGCATATTCATCAGTCTGCACAGGAGGAAATGAACTGATAACTAGTAATCTAAATAGCAAGAAAACCAACTAGGAGCATAGATTGATCTTCGATCGAATATAGCAACTTTAAATCCACGAAATCAAGTGACAATATTGATGGCCTTCCATTTTGCTAGCTTTGTGATTTACCTACTTGGTCGACGCTGAACGAACTTTTCTTAGCTATGTTATGCTAAAAAAAATACCGTTGCTAATCTCATCTGTATGCCTTCTGCTGCATGAACCAGGCAGACTTAAGAACAAAATAAAGTGCGCTTAATCTTAGTCATTAAATCCGGGAGACTGACTTTATGAATATTGAACGGAGTATATTTAATATAAAACTACAGCCCGGTGAGTATACGAATAAGTTAGTACATCAAGAGAACCAAGTAAGGTAGGGCACTTGATGTACCGATTCCACCGTTTCATATCTCCTGCATTCGTTCGTTCTTTCTCTGATCACGATGTCTTCCAATTAATGTTCATTTTTGGTACTGCCATGGGAAATAATGGAGGTTAATTGCATGTGTGGCAATAAGCATCGAACGCTCTCCCTTCTAACTCAACAGGCGTGGGCATTTTACCACGATGCCGCATTGGCGCATAAAGTGCACATTCAAGTAAATGCTGAAGGAGAGCACTATGGAACAACTGTACTCAGCTTTTCTTTTGTTAAATAGTGTTAACCAATCCGATCCATCAATTTAGTCCACCCAACCTTTTTTCAATACAAATAGAGCAATCGACGTAGGCCAATTAAAGAAAATTCTAAAGAGCACTCACTAACCCACTTTAATTTCTTTATAAAGACTTACCTACCGCAAAACCCGTCAACTTACCTACTAAATAAATCATGTTTTATACTTCAGCATCCAAATTTCCTATTGCAAGACCCTAGAAACAAATTCAAACTTTAACACAAAATACAACGAGAAAACAAATGGAAAAGATAGCTATAACATCATGCTTTCAGCATGAGAGGCAGGTGAATCTGAACGTAAGCAGCTTATACCTGATTCAAGAAATGTTCCGAGTGCGAAATCAGAATCTAAGATGAAATTCGATTATAGGATAAAACTGATCAAGAATAGCAGATGATGGATATTAAACGAACCTTGCTTTCAGATGGAGTGGGGTCAGGTAAAGGCGTGTCATCCTCGGCATTCTTACTATCCAGAGTATCATCATGTAGGTCAATCAATCGATCATACGTCTCATGGGAGGTATCGTTTTGAGTAGGGTTGAAGACAGCTTCCCAGCTATCTTGGATCTTGGGAGTGGGTTCACCGCCATCACTGTTGTTGAAAATGGCATCCCAACTGTTTGCCGTGTTGGGAGTTGGGGTGCCTTCATCACTCGTGGGGAGACCAAAGGGGTTGAAAGGTTCGTCATCTCCTGAAGTTGCTATGCTTGGGGGCATGGAAGATTCTAGAAAGATAATGACAATCAGGTTAAAAAGATTATGATCTCCAAAGATATAAGTATAGATTGGGATAGCATAAGTTTACTTAAGAATCTCCACATTTGGATATCGAACGAACAAAACACCTGACTGAATTAAATTAATCTGGATTCATATTTAAACAGATTCAACTCTTATAACTTCTTGAGTTAATATGATTTTTGGAGCGTTTCTCTTAGTTCCAGACTATTCGATCAAGATAAAAAATTCGGGTTTGAAGAAGACGAAGGAGCTAAGCTCAAAGGTATGCCTTCTCATTAAACCAGGTCTTTGGGAGGAAGGGAACCGCTACAAGCGTATGATCTCCTACAAGAATGCTCCCCCCCCCCCAACATTTTCACTTTTCTAAATTACACAAGCATTGTCGCATGCAAAACAATCCAATGCCTTCAGTTTCAGAAGGTTCTGAAAAGAAAAATAAATGGTATTCTGTTTGACCGAACTGTCCAGGCCTGGTGTGACTGAGTGTGGGTCGAGTGCCAGCGCATTCTGACATGTACGTGGCTATTTCGATCTCTCCCTATAATGCGCTGCTACAACGCATAAGCAAAAATAGGTGCGGGTGAGTAAAAAACGCCGCATACTCCTAGTAAATTTCATTGGACCGCCTTCCTGACTTTTATTTCCGCGTCTCGTGCACGCAGAGGGGTTAGGAGATAAAACGGATATAGTATCTAATGACCAGAAGACTAGCTTTTTCATTACAAAATGTATCTTTCAATTGATACACTTGAGATATAATCTATAATTACTTCAAAATTGTTTGAGATTTGAACTTAATAACAATCTTTCTAAGCAGAAGGTACTACTGTTTTATCTCTCTCTCACACCGAAATACTGGATGTCGACGATTGGAACTTTTCTGTCGAATACCTGAAATGCGCACTTTGTACTATCTACTATGTAAAATAGGTCATTATTGTATCTTTTTTTCAAGTTAACAAATCGACGCAACCTTTCGATGAGAATAAAGCTGGCCTTCCAGGTCATCATCAATATAAGCTTCCCCTTACCTCGGTTCAAAAACTGATGCTAAAAAATTACACATTTCGGCTTTATAGAACTCAGAAAACACTGTATTAAACAAATAAAATTAACCCTATGAACATCTTGTTTTGAGGAAGGCTCAAAAATAACCCAGAAAGATGAAAATTGGTAGTACGAATTGAGCTGCCAAATTAGATCTCAAACAAATTGCAAAAATACCCTCGATTCAAAGTCAAATTTCAGAATTTGAGAAATAAAATTCCACTGCAAATATGTAGGAAATTTAAGCTTTAAACTCGGCTAGTCAACAAACAATAAAGCACTTGTTTATTTAATGAATCCCTTCATTTTAGCTATCCTCTAGAACTAGAAGCAAATATGATCACCAATCTCATTTGGTAAGGCAGCTCCAATAACGTGTGTTAGATGCTACAGTTGAAGCGTGAGCCCCTACCGAAAGAGCATAGCGAACCCTCTCCTCTTTTTAATGGACCCCGTGCATTCCGTCTTCTGGAAATCGTATCTTGACCAGGTGGTGGAGGTAACATGGGGACTAGAGGAGCGGTGGCTACAGAACTCGATCGTGCCTCTGATGAAAGAGGAGCAGTAGTAGTAGAGGTAGATGCGAAGGGGATATCTACGGAGGTGTGAGGTCGACGGGAATCTCGTGACTTGATGGAGCCAAATGGCGAAGGAAGATTGGAAACAGTTTTGGGGAAATTGGGCTCTACGGCGCCAGGAGACAGATCACCCAAAGGACGAATGTTAACCTAGTAAAAATAAATGATATCACAACTATGACGTTATATTCGTACAACTCATGCATCCACCATAACAAATATATGGGGGGGGGGGAATGTTGTGAGGATAAAACTCCGGAAATGTAAACAGGAATCCTGGTCCCAACTAGTTCTCCGACGTCAATAAAAGTAAGAATTAGTAAAAGCAGGAGAGGAAGTAGCCTGGAAGAAGGGTATGTAGATTTGACTTATCGATTTCGGGTAATAACTTCTATATTCAACATATTCGACTGCTTTTACACGTGATTATTCGAAGAGGCTAGTACTGGATTCGAAATTAGTATGGAAAGTGAAATATTGAGATTCTGCGCTTCAACAACTCTTCTCTCTTATGACAAACCGAAATTTGGATGATGGAAGGCCTTGCTGATTATTTCGACACAGAATAATATTAGTGGTTTTCCTTTACGCACGCATTTAGCAGCTTGGGAAATTACCGTTTTCATGCGAGTTACCTTGAAGATGAGGGATTATACTATTAGAGAGGGGAATTGATATCGTTGTTAGAACGACCCGGCAAGCAAAAAAAAACTTCATTGGGGTCCTGACTGATTTACCTTGGCCATAACTTATTATTTCTCCTTGGGATCTAATGACTCAAAGGAATCAAAAGGGTGAAAAAACTGGAAGGATTTTTCATAGTAGGCCAATTGCGCAATCTTCTTCATTATTGATTAGTCGAGGGGGGTTTCCAGAGAGTATGACCTAAGAATAACTTTAAGCCCGTTATTGTCATGCGGTCCTATTACTATTGTGCAAATCCCACAATCAAGAGCAACAATGCTTGCAAATCTTCAAAAACTACATCTATTTGAAATTTAATTGCATTTTTACATAAGTTCTATAATGCACCTCTTAATTCTGTTTCAAACGATTACTAAATTTTTAAATCGTCGTGCCATTTCCCGCTGGATGATTAAGGATTGCATACAATGGGACGAACCATCTGCAAAAATAGAGCTCTAGTTACTAATTTTGATAATTTCACGAAGCTCTACTAACTTAACATGTGTTGCTATCTCCTTTGTGTTAGGTGAAAGTTGTAAACTGCGGAATATATAATGCAACATCGTTTGCCTTTTCAAGCAGTGTAAGAAAATCTTAGGCGATAAAACCGGCTCGGTCAATGAGCACTGCATATCGGCGTCAACAAATAGTTGTTGGGCACGAGTCATGAAAGTTGAATCTTCTTACACAAACTCCCCAGTTTAAACCAGTGTAAGAGCTCTTCAAATGAAAATGGTATAGCGCGTGTATGAATAACCCTCTTCCCCCAATAGAGAAGCAATAAATCAACTTCAAATTTTATTAAAAACACCATTAAAGCTCAGTTTCAAACGCACCTTGATACCCTTGAAGGTCTTTTCACTCGGACTGCTACTTCCACTGCTACTCGAACTGGAAGGAGATCTAGAATGTCCAGTAGCCCAAGGATTCTCCGGTCGAATGTTGTAGCCCTCTTCATCCACCTTGGGATGGTTGAAAGTCGAAGACTGGAACACCTTCGAAGTTATTTCATTAGGACTATTAGCTTGAAAAGGAAAAAAGGTGTTGCAAGCACTCAAAGGTACAGGAAGAAAAATTCATCAGCGGAGGGTAAAATTGATCGAATTTGATGCGAGTTTCGACGGCATTTCACTGGGCCATCAAAGGTAAAAATAAGGAGGAAAGATTGCAAGATAATTGAGTGAGGGATATTTCTCAGAGCAAGTTAAATCAGAGCGAAAAGGATGGCAAGACCAGCTATCACGGTAAAATTTTGCAATGCCGTACCTTTGGGTGGAGAGGGGTTTCTCCGACTGTTAACTGTAATAAAATTATTTAGATTCAATAAAAGGCCTATTTAGAAATCAATCAATCTAAGAATTTATCCGATAATTCTCAATATTTCATACATATAATTCATGTACATTTAGCTGTCATCTCTACGATTGCAACGCTTTCACAATTAAGACAATCACAATTTTCAAGTCTATCTAAGGAAGTGTAATATGTAAAACTACCGCACCATATTTAGGCTAGAATTAACCGATATGATTGCCCATCTATAGCACTGGGTGTACAACGATGAGACAACATTCAAGCATCACAGCAGTAGCCCTACCACCGAAATGAAAATATTTTATGTAAATATGAGCCCTGGTGGAGGAGTGGTCACAGTACACGTGTGCCGAGTGAGAAGTTAACAGATGAATGTAAACTAGCTCCATATCTATTGATGCGGATGCCGAAACATGCTGGTTACTTCCGGTCAACAGGAGCGATAACAGAGTGTGAGTTTGTAATAAGAGCGGATTCAGGATATCTCCCCCCCCCTCCCCCTCCCTACCCAAATCAAGTATTGTTAACACTCACCTAAATGGACATGGGATGTTTTAGAGTACGTTATTTGAGACTAAAGCTAACGCGTTAGTTATGCCTACTAGATGTAAATATGAACGATTCCCAAGCAATCTACTGAGAAATAAAGCACTGAAAGAAAAGGTTAAGAATACTAAAGGCATACTTCGTAATGGTTGGAATCTCTTTAACATCTATGTTACAGCATTCTATCAGGTTAACACAATTTTGCAGTGATTTAGCAAACGAATAACTATTATATTGACTATTCATCTGAGGAACAAAAAATCAAACAGTAAAACCTCTCTCATACACACAATGCACCATAATTCACCTCATTTATAAAAATGGGTTTCATTCACTTAGCCCAACACTTGCTCCTTCGTCAATCCCAAATTCCTCTCCCTATTGCTTCCACTTTGCTTCGCCACTTTCTTTGGTCATCTTTTCTTTAGAAAGGCCATTTAAATAGTGTTAGTCATTGGCAAGATCCGTAATTCTAACAGGATATTTAACCTAAGTTGGTCGGAATCTTAAAGTAACTTAAGTGAAGTGAATTTTCCATACTTCAACAATATCTATTAATGTAAATATGAGATAGACTACAATGAACAATGTCGATCAGCTGACTTGACATGGCAATCAAAACTCCTAATCATTTAAGCTAATTATTGAATTTTGACTTACACGATATCTTAATGTAGACATCGCATTTTTATTGAATCAATCAGATGATATTAAAAACGGAATCCCCCAGTGACTATTAGGCAAAACATGCAAGTTCACGAGAGACCAACAGTATGAAAGCCCACAACAGTTAACAGCATGATGTTTTGTTTACACATAATCGAAGCAAGGACATACCACACATGACTAAGTAAATAACGCAATCGATTAGACATTCACCCTGTACACATTCCCAGACAACACAGAGATACTTACAAGTTTTTCGAGGTATTCGAGCAAGATTCCGAACATTAGCCAGTTTTTGAGCAAATGAACCAGGAGTACTACCACTGGAATTGACACTGGCATTGTCTGCTTCAAGACCTGACGAGTTCTGGCGATTCCGACGTTGAAATAGAATACCTGCTCGTCGGCTGGGCCCCGTTGAATGGGTTCCACTGATCTCGTTCAGAGAACTCTGCCAAGAAGGATCAATTGTTCCTTGGTGGTTGGTCATGGGACTTTCTTGGTTTCCGAAAGCTGTTCAACAAGAAAGCAAATTAGACGGAAGCAAAGTGCAGACTATTTTAATCATCAAAAGTCCAGGTTGGTGATGTATAAAAACAGTGGACATAGTTACATAATTTAAAGCAGGCAGTTAAGATAGCATTGATCTGCCGTGGCATATGATAAGGGTCTTTTGCTACGTATATTGGCAGACATGTGCAGTTTTCAAATATGCATTAACAAAGTGGATGAGAAAACGGGCATTAACGATTTTCATGTAATTGAAATTGTTGTCACTTTAAAATTAAAGCTTTCATGCCATGAGATGCCTTGAGAGCATTGTCTTTGAAGGTGACCAGAAGAAAAATGATAAAAGACATCGGTCAGCAAGAGCAATGCCTTGCTCTCCTCTGAATTTAAGTATAATCCCTAAATTAGCAAATACGCCATCTGAGAGTTCAAGGAAGCGTATACTTGAATTTAATAATCTCACAAGATTGAATAACAGTACCACTCTCATCTCGAAATCATTGAGATTTAAGTTTATATAAAGCTGAAAGTAATAGAACAAACTTTGAGTTTCACAAGAAGGAAAAGTAAATAAAAGTTAATAAACCGAAAGACACTTCAGATCCGGTGCGAGTGGGATAGTCATCATTATAATTATAAGTTAGAAAAATGTACTCAATAGTCAAACAAATCGGATAGTTTATTGCTGCATTAGTAAAGCGCTCCTTTAAAGTTGGTTTCAATTGATTACTATCGAAAACCGCACTTACTCGTACAAGAAGCACTAGCCAATCAAATGGGGCCTTAATGTTAACTATCCAATAGAAACTGTTGTGCTGATTCCACCTATGAAAATCATTTTTTTAAAAAACCGACTGTCAGCAAAGTGTAGACTTATTGATTTGTCAGTTAAATTAAATAAACTATCCTATTTAACTAAATGACCTTTCATTGAATACAAAAATATTCAGGTGACCAATTTAATCACAGGACTGAAAGCATTGATTTCGGGGAAATGGATCACAGTACAAAGATCTTTTGCAGTAATAATACTACAAACGCTTTTTTCCCATAAATGCTAATATAGCTTGGCGTATCAATAAGAGTAACTTCCATGTTACTGTTAATAATATACGCCGTTGGCATAGTAGCCATAATACAAATCTAAATTCAGATGTCGACGACGCTCGTTTGTGCGCATTCGGTGACGTGGATGGCCAAACGCAATTGGGTCAAAGTCGGATGCGGTAGAAACGAGTTTCTCATAAGATTAGCCTCAGAATACCACGCCATTATCAGCGCCAACAAGATATTAATAACATATTTGTCAGGTAAGTTATTAAAGACCTTGAAGACAATAATTGACAGGCAAAATGTTAAATTAAGGAAAATTCGATGACTAAATTCTTTAATAAATCAAACGAAGAGGGTGTATTTTCACTAAAATAATTGATTATAACTACATTCTAAACAAAAATAGACTGCAATTTTTAGTCAGTTAACATATGGCAAACCAATGCAAATATCATAACCAAAATAGAGATGATATCATTTAAGAATTAAATCCTAGATCTATTTACCAGGAAGTGCAGAAGCAGCTCGAAGACTGTTAGAATCCGATGCTGAATGCGTGGGGGGACAAGGTGTAGAAGATTGTGAAGTCACACCGCCGCTTTCACCGACAACCCTAGGGGGATCATTGTTGAAAGCAGCAGCTACTTCCACATCCTCGAATTCAGCAGGCGGAGGTTCTTTCGAACCGGTTCCACGCTCCTCCACCATGTTGAGAATAAGGTTTTTGGGAGTGACTTCGGCCAATTGACGTTGGTTAAACTCTTTAGCAAGGGTAACTTGTGCGCTCCGGGATCGGACGAGGATTTCCACGAAGCGTCCAAAGAATTCGCACATTCTAGTCAGATGAGTAATTTCCATTTCCTAGAAACGTGACGGTGGGAAAAAGATTAGGAACATATCCAGTACTTACCAATCCCAACGACGTTAAGTCTTAAACCAATCAACAAGCATAGAAGGAAATGGAACTTACACTGTAACCAAAATAAGATCATATTTAACCGATTATAAGGACGGCATTGAGTTGCTATTCAATGCACATTCCAAAATAAATAAGCATGATCAGACAAAACTCGAACACTGCATTCAAAACTTAAATGGTAAAAAGTTCTCCCCCTCATTCAGTGCCATTAAAAACCATACTTTACATTAGTTCAAACTGACTATTATATTTACCGTTTTAATCAAATAGAATTTCAATACAAGTACCACAATGATAAGCAGAGGTAGATTCGCAGTCATGTTCAAACTCTATGAAAGGTGCTCTCCAGCACTCATCTTAGACTAAGGTTTCAAATATGAACAGAATACATTAGCATATGAAGAGAGAAAACCCATGCTCTTAGCGATTACGCTTTGTGATAAAACTGTGGATTAACGGACGAGACAACTGGCAAATTCCACCCTTAAGTGTGCAATGTCGAGACTCTAACCAAAATATCTCGTAAGATCAGATTTCGCATTTCTGACAAAATTCGTGAATGTTGGTCAAGTAAGTACAGCTGCTTAAACTAACGAAATAAAACTTAGAAAGTGGATTAACATTGATTATTTCGACAAATTAAAATCAAAATACAGGAAACGCAAAGAAGTTAAAGGTTATCTTATACTAAAAAGCATGCATGAATAAAAGCTATTAAATGCAATTTAGGCTAAATATTACCCTAATCAATCATTGTATTAAATCATTGTCATGAAAACAAGCATATAAATTAAATTCTTACCTCAAAGTGTTCACAAGATGTACGCATTTTGTCAACAAATTGTAACCGAAGGTTATTGTACTTCTCCACAGAGTATTTATACTCGTCCTGGGCCTTTTTCAGCTTAGTCTCTGCCTTTTCCATATCCCTAACAGAGTGGGTCTCATTCAGTCTAACTCGTTCATATTCTTTAAATCGGGTGTGATAGAGGTCTTTGGCTTTTTGTAAGTGTACTGAGGCAACCTGCATTAAGTACGTAACAAGTAAATTAAGCAGATATACCTGAAAGGAATGAACAACTTCTTGAGTACTTGTTTCGCCTTCTTTGGCAGTTCGATGTTTCTTCTGCAGCTCGTCCAGATACTTCTGAACGTCTTTCCATAGATTTAGACGGTCACTTTCAAGAGATCCAAGCAAAGAAATTGACTTTTCTATGTATGCTGAAAATAACGACCACCATAATCTAAAGCTTCCGGAAGCGGTATACAGAGAAGCCTGTTTAGATAGTTTTGTTAAACCTTTAGCGTAGCTTTCTTCCATCGTATTAAGTTCACGAAGGAAGTCGCAAAATTCTGTAGTATTTTTTAACCCGACTTTCATATTTTGTGTAAGTGTTTCGAACCCTGCATTTTTATCGCCCCAAAAAGCGTTAGTAAATAAACTATCAACATTCATTAGGAAGAAAAACAGAAAAAGCAGAGGCTATCGGCCGATGTGCAGCCTCACATAAAGCGCCACTTAAAAATTATCTTGGGACATTGAACATTACTTGAAAATAACCAACATCTTTGTATGTTCTGCAGCATATTACTCTGTTTTGATCGAATTTTTAAAAATAAAATTTATTTTAATAATATTAATGATATATATCAACTTTAATTTTGACTGATTATAATTCGAATCGAAGGTTGCCATCAAAACCTGACTTATCAATTATAATTTTAAATTGGTTGATTTATAAAATCTCTTTTTCGCTCAGATTTATCATATTTTAAATATTGCGATATTATTTGCTGAAATTCCACTTACAAATTTGTTGTTCTAATAATGTGTCAAACAATCTGATATATAGCTGGCCCTCGCACATAAAGATTTAATGTCATCTCTCACTTTACTCGAACAACTTGAGTGAGGTTGTAAAGTCAACCGAGATAATGCCTCTTATCAGTGAAAATTCAAGTGCTTTCTCACACAAAGTCTATTTTATTTATTCGTTTATGCCGCATGAGGTGATAGACAACTATGGAGTATTCATGAATCTATCTGGATCATTTGAGTGGAAGGCTATTGCGATGTCTTTCAGATTCGGATCATATGGTAGTTCCTAACCGCACAAATTAAGAACACTTGTAATTTTTTTATTTTGACAATAATCAATAGCCATATTGCACTTGATTATGGACGACTTATACTTAACAATTATAAAATATTAATAATAAAACAAATTGACATTTTTTACAACTGTAAATTTTATTAGAGAGGAGATCACATTATAAAGCCGTACAAGTTGCTGATTGTAAATGTTGGGGTAAAATTTAAAATGAGTATCTTACCATTTCTACGAAGATCACATGATACTAATTCCTCATTTGGCTTTTTCGATAGAAACCTCAGACCTTCAGAATCTTTTTGGTTCAATTTACATGCAGAGAGGCGATATTCATAAACTCGGGTGAAGTACCATTGAGTCTCATAATATTACAGCCATTATGATAGCCAAAGGTAAACGCACGAATATCTCGGTTCATCACAGCTGTTCCCATAATTTCAAATTTTATTCATTTAATCTGTTGACCTTCCAAACACTTGCAATATTATGTTTTTAGAAAATTTTTTTCCCCTTTTTTCTAAACAACTGAATTCTGATTGGAGTCTGGCAAAACAAGGATAATAAAATCAGGTTTATGATTTGTCTCGGAGTATCAAATCCTCGGTGTTCTCCGAAGTTGTCCATCATTCTTATTAAACCGAGTATGATTATTGTTCCTGACAGCTCGAGTGTTAATTCGGTCTAAAAATGCTATCAAACCGACTGTGCTGTTATCTCACGACATCGATAAAATGAAACCAACCTGTATTACTATGTGGAGTCCATTTCTTGATTTAAAATGCCATTTGTTAATTAAACTCCATTTTACCGTTCACATTTCAGCCCCATTCAGCTTCGGTTAAGTCCCATCTAGTGGACTAATAAATCGTAACAGCACCAGAACTGAATCTCTTCGCTTATAAAAGTTACAACAAGTTACAACCGAAATGGCTCAGATCCCTCCGCATTCTGATCTGCATACTTAGTCAATAATGGTTTTATTAAAATTGAAGCCACTAAAAAGACTAGGTTATAGTTTTTTATCGAATGGCAGGCATTGTGATAGTTATCATTAGCCCTTTAGTTGACTTCAGGCTTCATATATAGGGGAGGAACATCAAACTGAAAAATGTCGAGAAGGGGGGACAAAAGTGTTTCAAAGATGTAAAAGAGACAGACACAAAGGTAGAAAATAGGTGAGGTGAGTAATGTGGAAGTAGTCGAATATGACATACAGTGGGGTGATGGTAGTTTGAAGTCAGAAGTCAACTGCCGGTTTATAGACTATTTTGCCGTATGAGTTTACGTTGCACAGGGTGCACCACGTGGAGGTAAGTCTACCGTACACACCGATTCGGTTATAGTAAATCCTCTCAGCTTATT